TCACACAATAATAAAATTCAGGTAATTCTATGCTAAAGGTAATTTTTAATTATTATTTAATAATGGTGGAAAAATTTTGAATTGTAAAGTATACAAATTTTAACATCAATTTAAATATGAACAAAATCGGTCTAATAGTTTCTGTGAAATGGAATTTTTTTTTTTAAAAAAGAAATTGTATATTTAAAATTAGATTTAACAGGAGCTATTTGACCGATTTTGCTCAAATTCTGCATTTAGTCATATAAAATTACATTCTTTAAAAAAAATTTTATACTTTACAATTCAAAATTTTCCGACTATAAATAAATATTTATTAAAAGTTATATTTTGCATGAAATTATCTTTGGATAAACGAATTTTTCGGGAATCCATATTCTATAATAAAAAAAAATGGAAAATCCGATCAGTTAATCAAGGTGTTTTTTTTTTTTTTTTTTTGCACTCTGTACAAAAATTGGATTTCAAAACCTGGCAAATTGATATTGATGATTTTAGAGAAAAATTAATATGCTGGATATTATAGCCTGTAGAAACAACTAAATCTTCGAATATATATAAAAACTCGCGCTACAATTTATTTTCATGGGATTTAAATGTTGCAAGATTATTTATAGTCGTAAGTTTAAGCGATACCGTTTCAATTGCATCTCGAGCTGTATTTTTACAATTTACTAAAAGGCAAGGGTTGTTCAGAGAGGCAATGAAGTGCAGAAGATATGCCTGCTGCAATTATTACTAACTTCTCTAATGTGTGGCTTTTTCTTTCTTCCTCTCTTCGTGCAGTGGATGTTTACTCGGTGTGAAGTGTTGTCGTACAGCTGGAAGAATCAAATGATCTAGTTTTGTATTGTTTTTGTGATCGACCATTCGTATGGCAGCCTAGCGGACTTTATTTTGTTTACAGGGGAAAAAAAGTAACTAATGCTGTGATCAAGCTTGTCTGCCAATTATATTTGAATAAATATCTGTTTTTATGTATATTTATCTCATTTTTTACTAATTAATTACTTCATCACTGAAGCATTAACACATAATGGATATTGAAAAGAAAAAAAAACATTTTTTTAAAGGTTGAAATATGAAAACCATAAATTCGAACAAAATCATCTTAAAATCCTATATGGCGAAGGAATAGGCCTTTTAAACAAATATTTATTTGAAAAAACTAAGCGAATAGAAATCTAGAATGTGCGTGTTTGAGCCAATTATGTTATGAAAATTAATCATACGCATTTCCTAATTAAAAAATTCGACTTTTGATTTCCTCCATTGTTAGGAGGCAATTCATTTAATTTTTTCTGTCCGTATGATAACAGCAGTTGTATTACGTTTATATGAAACACATCTAATTTAATATTGCTGAGCATTTATTCTGTGCCAAATTTGATAGATATTTTTATTATTTATTCATTTTCAGTACAATCAAATAAACGATCATTCAGCTGGATTTTTTTTTTTTAAACCTATAAAAAGTATTGGTATGTTTTATTTCATCAAAAATTTACCTTTTTTTGTTAGAAAAATACAGAGATGATTGTGCTCCGGAAATCCAAGATCCAGAAGTTTAAAGAAATAGATCATATTTATGAATAAAAATCTTTTATAATTTATTTAGAAATATTTGAACTAGAATTTATGCTTGGCATATTTTTTATTTGTAAATATTTTTTCTGGTAGAATAATAAATGTAATTCGAGATAAAAGTAAACTTATACATAATTTTTAATTTAAATTATGCTGCATATAATTTCATGTTTTGAAAATATCAATGACTTAAATTTATGCAGACATTAATTTTTTGAAATGCAATATTAATGATTTTACTCAAGAAATTTTCCGGACTTTTGAGTTACATGACTGAAAATATCAAAATTCTTTGAGCCTACGATTCTAGAAATGGATAAGTACTCAAAAACCATGTACATATTACACATATTATTTGTTCATTTTTAATATTAAAAAAAATGTCATTTTGCTGGAATTTTTTTTTTTTTTTTTTGAACCTGTAAAAAGTAATGGTATGTTTTATTTCAATTAACTGTTTTTGTTAGAAATATATAATTTTTTGAGCATAAGATTCTAAAAATGAGTAAATAGTTTAAAAAAAAACACATTACACTTATAAGAAAAAGCATGTTTCGATATTTTCAGTCCCACCTTTATTTGTAAATCTTTAGATTTCTATATCATTCCCCCCCCCCTACCGGAATAAGAATTTGTGACTCTTGATGTGCATTTTAAAAATATATAGTATCTTCTACGATTACGGAGCAATTAGCAAATAAACAGAAATGCTGAATAAAGAGAAATTAAAATTTCCAGATAATGAAATTTTGTTTCATTCTGGCCATATTTCAACTCGTTTTTGTGCCTGTCCTTTAAAAATGTTTCTCCTTTCGGAAAAAAAAGATGGTAGCACAAGTGTCTCATTGTTGGGATTTGTGTTACAAAAGAGTTCTTTTTTTACCACACATTTATCAATCATATAAATATTTATAATTAGATCTTAAGTCTGATTTTAAATCAATTTTTTTAAAGCTAAAGTGGTATATAACATTCATTTGGGATAAACAAATATGTACAGCGAAACCTCCAAGAAAGACCACTTCTGTATAGCGAACTCTATGTACTACCACTTAACGACCGGGCAAATAAGGAAACGTGAAAAAATTTGAACAAAACCAATAAGTCCGACTCAACTGTATTCTATTCGAAATATTTCTGAGTGACTTTTATCTGAGAGCTCTTTCAGAGATTGGCAACCTCGTAGTACATTCAGTGGTTTACTTTTAGATAGCAACTAAATATCTCAAATAAACTAACCTCTTCTCATTTTTTAAAGCTGACTAATTATTATGATATAAAATGAAATGTAAACTTTAAAAACGTGATTTTTTATTTGTTTAAAATAGCTCTATCATTCATAATTTGTTTTTACACATAATATGTATAAGAAAAGATCATTTTTATTGACTCTTTAAATTTTATTCATCAATCCGGTTTTCACAGACGACTAAAATGCAACTATTTTCGGCTTGAGGTGACTGGCAATTTTTATATTTTTTGCCTGAGAAGTCTTAGAAAGGCAACTATTTTCAGGAAAAGGAGACTTTCCTGTACTCCTAGCGATGTTTTATTTTTTAAAGCATAAATTAGATTGAAAACCTGCGTCCCGCGGAATCTTCTGAACACACTGATTTCCCCCTCCCCTTAAAATAATGAAAATTGTAAATTTGAGTCATCACTTTTTAAGTTCGTTCAATTTGCACAGATTCCATTGTTAAGTCTCGTTTCTCAATCGCATTTTAATGGTTATTGCTAAAAAGTCCCACATGATCTTAAAAACCCCTATTTTTAATACGATATTACTATGCTTGAATTTAGGATTTGAGTAATCACTTTTGGCAATATATATATCTAATATATATAATTCTCTTACGTGGCTCCCAAATTTTGGCTGTATTTCTTTTCCGCCGGTGGCAACGTTTGTTTTGTTTACGTTACTATTTCTCTTACACGGCGATTCGACCAATGATTGCCGTTAAAAATGTCACATGCCAAATCTAGCTGAGGTGGCTCAACATATAGCGCTTTTAAAAACTGAAATAACCAGAGAGCATCAGCTGCGGCAACTACTATTACGCTAGGCAGCAGTGAGTAGTCTTTGTCGATAAATCTCTATTTTAGTATTTTGTCGAAAGCGCTTTTTTTCACGAATTTATATACAGTAGGGAACCGATTATCCGGAACGATCGGGACCATCGCTGTTCCGGATAACTGATTTTTCCGGTTTTCTGAATCGCTACAAAAAGCCGTTTTTTTATTGTTAAACCCAGCTAAAAAAAAATTTTTTTTTTGGAAATAATCTTAAAGAGAAGAAAAAACGATAGAGTAATACACTAATGATTATTTCCAAAATGATGGTAAGGTAAACATCTTTCAAAAAAGAACGAAAAATCCTAAAATCTTATGAGGAAAAATTTTTTTTTTTTTTAAAAATGGCGGGAAAATTTATCGAATTTCGTTCCGGTTTTCTGATTTCCGGATAACGGGTTCTGTACAGTATTACGAATTATACTATAGCACATTTCTAATAGGTTTAACGAATTACATGTTATTTATTTTAATGCCTTAGTATTTACTAAAAAGATGTATTTTTTTAAAAAAAAAAAGGTTTTTATATGGATTCGAATGATTGTTTTGAATTATTAGAATTTTGTGCATTTGCAATGTACCTCAGTTAGTAGCGAGCGAAGCAAACCATATAAGATTGCGTAGCAATTTTTGGGGGTTACCGAGCAGGGGGCGCAGCCCACTAGTATATATGTATTCCAAATATCATATAATCATTATACATAATCATCATAAATCATTCTATAAAAGCCTTTTTTTTTAAAATTAATTCTAGTAATTAAAAATATTTAATTTTCTGCAAATATAATAATTTTTTTGATACAAAAATTTAGTGCTAGAACACTAACGTTTATATTAAAATTATCACATTTGCCCCCAACTTGACTATTCAATCAACCACAATTCATTTCGGCCTACCGTCGTTCCGTAGCGTATGAAAGTCGTACATGTTTGATGAAATACTTGCGAGTCCGCATGTGCGTCTTCTGAGCTGGATTCGGTGAGATTCTAGCACTCTCATGTGCAACTTGACTGCATTTTGCAATATATTCTCCATTTCAGGCTTCATATTTCAACCTCATTTATCGAACCGAAAAATCTCTCGATCTTTTTATAATGGCTAATATAATCAAGAAAAGAGTACTTAGTCAGAAACTAGTTATTTTATCATGATCATGTAAAGTCTTTGATATATTTACGAATTTTTTATACATTTTCAAACTCACAAGAAGACACTTTTGCTACTACTCGCATATAAATTTGGCTGCCACTAGAGAGTGCAGCCGATTGGCATGTACAAATGTGCATTTAAAAAATTTAATTAAGAAATAATAATAAAACCAGCTTGAAATAAAAACTGCGAAAAATATAAAATAATTTTATTGAAATAAAAGATTTTTTTTCAGTTTGGACACAGATAATTACTAACGTTATCACGCCTTGTGCTTTATTCAATTAGTTATTATTATCTTTTAATAGCTCCACAGAGTAGTGTAGTATTATGAAATTGATTCGAGCAACTTGGATAATGGGAAACGTATGTAATTTTAAAAGAAATTTTTAAGGAACATTCATTTAAAAATACTATTTCTTCACAGGGTTTCCTCTGGCAACATTTCTGAGCATAAAAAACGTCCAAAAACATTATGACAAAACATATATAAATATCTTAATGTATTTTAAAACATACGTTAATATGTTTTAAAATATGCATTATTTTTTCATCAAAATATGGAATTTGTTGAAAAATATGTATCTCTTGTTGGCGTGTAATTCTTTGAATATAAATAAATTTATCACAGTGCTTCTAAAGAACTTTGCTTTGTGTGAAGATCCTCACAGAGGCGCGAAGTTTCATTTGGCGGTATAGAAGGATTGAGAACATCTTTAGAAGCATCAGTCAAAGGCATTTTTTCTGGTATTTTTATGGCAATATCTGGAAAAAGAAATAGAAACTACTCAAAGCTTTATCATCAATGATTAATTATTATTATTTTTGGTTGGCAATGATTTACGACTAGTTTCGATATCGCTCGCCAATTCTCAGCTGTTTTTGGCTTATTTTTGTTTAACCCCTCATCTTTTATCTTTTCATATTTTATGTTAATTACGTTAAAGGCTATGCGACTTGCTCACTATAGCTTCGCGGTGTGGAACAGATTACCGGTGGTGTAGCTAGAAATGAAGATCTTAGTGAAAATTAGTAGGGGGTAGGGTATATTTCCGTATCGTGATCTGTCGCGCCAACTACATTCGCCAAGGTGCCAAATAGATTTTAGACTCGCAAATTTGAAAAAAAAAAAAAGTCAACAAAAACATGTAGATGTTTGCAGGGTGGTGGTTACGAGTTATACCTTTCGAGATCGACGGTCCCTTTCTGTGATGCTTTTTTTTTATAGTTTCTCGCGGGCCGCTGCCCTGAAGTTGCGGACTAATCACAATACTTGCGATTTTTCTGTCACAGATCACGATATGGAAATCTCCCCAATTAATATTCGTTCCGAAAAATTTCAAAATGAAATACTGCAATAAATACTTACTGTTATAAATTGCTGCAAACCTAAATAAGAAATTAAAACTAAATAAGGCGTATTGTTCATCTTCAGCACATGTGCAAAAGATGATAATTAATCTGCTAATAGTTTTCGCTAAACTAAGATACCCGTCACAAAAAAAGAGAGAGCTTGTGGCGGTAACTATCACTACAATTATTAAACATTTATTCACTAGTATTAAGAAATGCTAACTCTATTCAATATTGAGGTACCTTTTGATAGAAGAAAGTTGGCATTGTCGAAGACTCCTTCCTATCCCCACACCTAGTTATGAAAAAATTAACTAATTTTGTTATGTTACGTTTATTTGTATGAGAGGAACAAGAATGCTTCAGAATCGGTATATGCTTAGATTTTGAACTTAGTCACAGCAATTATTTATGAGATGGCTATAAGCTAGGTTAACTTAGCGCTAAATCACGAAATGAAAAGATAACGTGTTGTTCATTACTTTAAAAAGATTGTTGAGATTTGGAGCTTGAAAATTTGAAGCTGTAGCACAATTAATAATGATAAAGGGGTAAAAAAGGAAACAGATACTAATAAATAAATTTAAAAAAAATATTTTTCAAAAATGAAAATGAGAAAAAAAAGTTATACCGTTGGATCTAATGATGTCTGGCACTTGTTCTTTTGTTTCATTTTCTTCATCTAAATCTTCTGATTTCTGGAGAGAAAAAATAGTCATTTTGAAAATAAAATTTTATTACTATAATTTCATAAGTATACGTTGCTATAGTGTAAAATGTTTAAATAAAAAAAAAAAATAACACCTCGATTTCTTTTTTTTTTTTAATATTTTGTAAATAGTATTTGGTATGAGATCGACTTTCTTTTCTTCAAAAACACAAGGCCTGATCATAGCCTAGGCCCAATAGGCATGGGCCTAGGGCCCACAATTTCTGAGGGGCCTCAAAAATTAGTAAAAAGTCTAATGAAAGGTGGGCTAGCTATGTGTTGGTTTAGGTACTAAATAAAAAATAATTACAGCTTACAATAATAAATAATTCAGCTAATCAGTGACTTTTAGCAAAAATCACTGATTTCAATTGTTTGTGGTCACCAAACTATTTTTATTTTGACATAACATTGTTTTGTTGTTTTATATTTTGCTTTAATTTATAGATACGTAAACTTTATCTTAGAAAAATAATCTTCAATTGTCTGCTTTCAAAATTTTTAGAATGTTTCTCTTGAATCATGCAGTTTAATAGATTCTTTTTCATTATTAGGATTACTCTTCAGTAATTTAATTTCAAAATATTTTGTAAGGGGCCCAGAAAATTTGGTGGGCCTTGGGCCTGAATTTGTCTTGATCGGTTCCTGCAAAAACATCAGCTTTTACTCAGAAATAAAAACCAATTAGTTCTAGTGTAAAAATAGTTAGAATTTGGGTCATGCAATCAATAAATTAACTAATTATAATTAATCAATCAGTTATTTATGAAATATTTTTTAATATATGTAAAGTATCCAAACATGAATTGATAATTTCGAGTGAAAAGTTGTAAATCATAAACATAAAAAACCTGTTTGAACTTCTTCGCCATCGTTTTATCCTTGAAATAGCCTTATTTAAATAAAACTGTTGACATAATCAAGCACGAAAATTTTAAAACAGAACTCTTATTTCGCCATCCTTTCATTGCAGGCCACTCTGAAGACCTTGGCTTGTTTTTCAAAAAACTTTCACATAAAAACTATATTCGTCTGAAATATCGTTTTTGTATACACAATTAAAGAAAAAAAAAGGGTGCTCGTTGCACATGAAGTAAATCAACATATTTGTCAATAATTTCTGAATATCCCGGAATAATAATCCTAACGTCTGATAAAAAGACCATTGGCTGATGATGACAAAACTTGTTGAATATCCCCCATCGAGACAAAATTTAAAGATGGCTACATCAGAAATTCATCCACGTGAAGCCGAAAATAAAGTAGTTGGAAAAAATTTACACTTTAGCTGATAAATTAGTTCAAGTCAAGATGATTTTTTGTTAAATTTTATAAAGTCGCCAAATTGTTTTAATATAAAACATTCATTAGCAAAAGGTTATAGGTAAAGAAAGCTAAAAGGTTAGTCTTTTCGCAAATATAGCTAATGAGTTAAAGTTGCAGAAAAAAAATTCTACAATTGAACTTAAGAATACCTCGACTTATTTTTCTTCGTATTCTTATTGTGTTACTAGATGTTGATTTATGCATTTCCATATGTGTTCTTTCTCTAGATTTAACTTTTTTTTACTTTCAAGTTAACTTTTACTTAATTTTGTAATTAAAACAAATGATTTTTTAGTCTGCATTGGGTATTATTCAGTTCATTAACAATGCAGATTGCTGTTCAAGAAAACAGTTTTGTGATTAAAACAAATGATTTATTAGTCTGCATCGGGTATTATTCAGTTCATTAACAATGCAGATTGCAGTCCAAGAAAACAGTTTTGTAATTAAAACAAATAATTTTTTAGTCTGCATTGGGTATTATTCAGTCCATTAACAATGCAGATTGCAGTTCAAGAAAACAGTTTTGTGATTAAAACAAATGATTTATTAGTCTGCATCGGGTATTATTCAGTTCATTAACAATGCAGATTGCAGCCCGAGAAAACAGTTATTTTAATTACAAAACATAAAACATAGTAAACATCAGTTACGTATGTTTGATATTTTTCACGAGCGCATGCGCCTTTCACCAGAACTGACGCATGCGCAATTACTTGAAATCTTACGGACGGTAGCTAACGTAAATTTGCGAAATCTCCCTAATATCATAAAATTAAAAAAATCATGATAAATATTAGATATGGACTAATTTGTAATAGATTGAACTAAAGTGTTTTATTTTCGGGATCACGTGGATAAATTCTGATGACAGCTTAGTCATTTTTAAATTCAGTCTCGTTGGGAGCTTATTACTTTTTAATATTTGGCAACGGTACTCTTTATTTTCCCTCATAGAATTGAACTAAGATTTCAGCAGCAAATTCTGTACGTTACTTTGGAAATTAAAATTAATATCCATTCTTTAAGAAACAAATAATAAGTTGCGTTTTCCAATTGGATTTGATTTTCTTAGCAAGTTTAAAATTTTCTTTAATAATGACTAATTCAGAAATGTTGAGCGGTGAATGGATAAATGTGGCGGAAGACTTCGAAATCTGCTCAGAAAGTACTTTAGAAAGAAACAAAGGAACTAATGAAACATCAGCATTTGAACTATTCTTGAAGCAAAATGTTAATGCGATTCCGAAGTCAGCAGTTTCTGATAAAAACCCAAAAAGAATTGATTCAGAATCATTGGATAACAATGTATGGGAAGATTTAGTCGAGGACTTTGAAATCTTGTACAAAGAAGCTTTTGAAGTAAACCATGACAGAAAAGAAATCATTTTCGGCAAATTGTCTGGCAATGAATTGATTCCACCAGAAAACGTTGGCAACATTTCTGTAAGTGATACTCCTGATGAAGAAATCAAGTCTAGCGGAGGATCGCCGCTTGAAATTATTGTATCTGAGAGAAACGGAGACGTGATTCCGAAGTTAATCTCTGTATTGTCAGGCGAAGAACCAGAGAAAACGGTTTTGCTTGATTTGTGTAGAAGAATTCGTGGCAATACAAAATGGCTAACGGAATACAATAAGATTCGAAGCCAAAAACTGAAGATTACATTGACAGAACTCTCTGACAAAAAACGAGGAAAAGTAAATAAAAATGGATCCGCTTTTTTGTTTGGCATAATGGCTACCAACATTTTATGTTTTGCTTTGGGATTTGGCATCGGTTTGTGGAATAGAGACTATGTTCCAACTTATGCGATTTTTGAGTTTGATCTGGATTCCGTTGTTTATTGATTTCAAAAACGATGCAAAACAAATTATTATTTTTTTTTTTTATGTGTAGAAAGTTACATCTATAAGTTTTATCTGAAATTGGAGGTAAAGAGTGAAATTCGAATTTTACAAAAAGGGTCTTTATTGTGTACTAATTTTTGGTTAGCTGGGCGGAAGTAAGGCGAAAAGTCATATAGTAATTTTCTGCGCCTAAATTAAAAAAAAAATCACAACTAATATATATAGCTATATATATATATAGTAGTTCTAAATGTGAAATGTAGCGAAAAAAATTATGGTATTTGCGCTTGTCTAACCCAAAAGTATCGATCATTGCTAGCATGATTTAATTTAACTGCCATTTAAATTATAAATCAGCCAATCAATTAGACAGATAATTAGGTACTTATTCCTTGGAGGTGCCGTGAGTATATCAAAATACCAGTACTGCCTTTTACCACAATTAATGAAGCATCAATGGCGTCAATTATAGTGTGTACATTTTTTTAAGCACCGCAACGGATAAGCATATTAATTTAAAATATATGCAGGATATTGTATAAATGTCAACATTCAGTAGTGAATGTTGAATTAAATGTTTGTTTACATTGCTTTTACTTTCTGATATTTCCATCAATGCATGCTGAATGTCGATTTTTTTGTGTAAGACAGAAATAATGAAATTAAACAAATGTTTTTGAATATTCCGTTAAAAAAAAAATAGCGCAATATCGTAATAGTAAACATGTGTTCTGGTTATAAATAACTTATGAGACAAATACTTTCTGGTTACAAATACCGAGATAATTAGGTAATAGTTAAAATGCACTAAGGTAATAGGTACCTACGTGCCTATTAAGCGATACCTAAAATAGGCACTGTGATAATACGTTTTTCATAGCCTTCAGTAACGGATGAGTACCGAACGTCGACATTCATCACATCATTCATTTTGGCCTTTTACAGTGCCTTTTCTGTCATACATTTTTGGAATCCTCATAAAAAGTGATAATTATTTCATTCATTCAGTGTCTTGAACGAATACGTCTCCAGCTCTACTTCTTGAATCCCATTAACTTGTTATAAGTTTTCTTGCCGCTTTTCTTTTCTTTTTTCTCTTCTGCAAACAAGGTCTACCTAAACAGCCTAGATTGGCCTAATGTAGGCTCTCTAGGTTTGCCCAAAAATAAGTAATGAAAAAAAAAAAAACATTTATTATTTCTGCAATATTGACGTCAGTTACTATAAATTTATGTTCTTCTCTTGTATAACTTAGCAACCTCGCCAAATTATTAGACGCACTAAAAGAGGGGGGGGGGGCACACAAATTAATTCCTTCTTCGCATTTTGTAAATAATCATCATAATAAAAAAAAATAATTAAAAGTCATGAAACCCATAGTAGTAATTGCGAGAAAAAAAGATCGACAACAAAATTACGCGAATCGGACTTCTCAAATACGTGTTTTGATTCGAGATTTGGTTGTTATGATAAGTAATATCGTAAAAAAAAATATATCAGATTTAAAAATTATGGAGATATCTATAGCAATAACTGCCAAAAATTTGATAGAATTATTGCCTTAAAAAGTAAATACTCAAATGCACGATTCGAATTTTCAATATTGTTTGAAATATATCGGGATATTTAAAATCTACGCGAAATCAATAACTGCCGAAAATACAATCGAAACATGACATCGATTTACGATACTGTCGACGTAAATTGAGCACGTCAAGAAGTTATTATTTAAATGCATGATTCAAATATTAAGTGTAAATTTCTGTAAAAAAGAAATACATTATTTTTCTACTTTTCATAGGAAAAATCTTTCTGCCAGAACTCTGTAACGTTCTGCGACTATGTCGCCGTGATTCAGTCATGTGGATATTATGAATAACAAACAAGCACTTTTAGTTAAAAGCTTTTAAAAATTCAGACTTGCGAATTTCTGGACTTTGCCTTTGCCAAGAACAAAGAATTCATTTTTATTTAAATAAAAATGGCGTCGTTTCATCTGATATGCTAACTTGTTCACTAACTTGTTATTTTTTTAATATCTGATTCTAGGTTAAACATTCGGCCACTCAGAAGATAACCACAGTATTCACACGATAGCCTTTAAAAGTAACTTTCCTTGTGACATTTGTTTACTAAAAACCGGCGATTACCAGTTTAACAAATTGTAGTGCGCGAGTAATAGGAAGTATAAACAATGAATAGATAACCCATGCAAATTGTTTAAAGAATATTTAATGTTTATAGTTTATAAGGCTGAAGGCCTGGTTTTATAAATGTATTCTTTCCCTTTAGTGATATGAAACTACTCAGCAAGTTTGTTTTTTAATATGGTTTTGATTATTTGTTTATCTGGTTAAGAATTTCGTTTGTTGTGTTTACTTTTTTTTTAGATCTCCTTTGATTCGTCGGATAAGAAATATAAGGATTTAACAGTTATTGCAAGGTTAGTTAGCTTGTTTTAAAAAAAAATGTCTTTTATTATGAGCGGTGAGATTTTTTTTCCACAGTAAATTAATTCATAATTATTTTATTATTATTATAAAAATATTATTTAAAAAAAAATAATCCTTTATTATGAGTGGTGAGATTTTTTTTTCCACAGTAAATTAATTCATAATTATTTTATTATTTATTTTTATTGCAATTCAACAAAAAAAATTTACCAATGAAATTTAAAATTATTTTCTTAAAACGTAAATTTTTTTTTTACCTTTGTGATTTTATATTATTATAATTTTATAACTTTTGACAATATAAAACATTATTCATTTCACTTTAAATGGTATAATAGGTACGTTCAAAGTTTTTTTCCACTCAAGGTGGCGCATAAGGTGTTAATAACATTTCTCAACGTTAATAATAATAATTTCTAAAATCCAACAGATGGCGCTCGGCGCAGTAATGTAAAAAGTAAAAAGATTAATTGTGTTCCAGTTTCCTCATTAGCACTGTTGAATTAACATCATACCATTTTTGTTATTAAATATATTTTCTGTAAAGAGTGTTTTGTAATGATTTAAATCCAGAGATCACCATATTTAACATTGGCTCACCAACCCGGGAACTAAGAAATTGATAAAGGTGAGTGCATCTGATTTGAATAATGGAATCATTTGATGATTTAAAGAACAAGAGAAAAACAATCCGCTCTTTAACAACTTGATTAATAATAAAAATGGTATGATGTTAATTTTACAGTAACAATTAGGAAACTGAATATTACAATTAATCCTTTTACATTACTTCGCAGATCGCCATTTGTTGGATTTTAGAAATTATTATTATTAACATTCAGAAATATTATTAACATAAGGTGTTGGTTATTCCTCTAAATTAGCTGTCACCAGTGGACGACCATTACATATATTTTTCAAAATCGCATTCATTACGTTACCACGTTGATTTTTTTCCCCAATAATTTACAAATCAATTTTTTTAGTACTTTAATTTAGAAGCTCCTTAAAATTAAATGTTTTTAAATTATTGCCAAATCCTTAATAAGAGAAAGCTTAGAATTATTGCCAGTTAGTTGAGAATTAAACTTAGTTATGCAATTCAAAATATTTTAATGCTTTGAAATGAGTTGATGCAAAACAGCTGACTATTTGCTATGCATACTATTTTATCGAAACATGAAGATAAATTTTTGCTTGTCATTTTTGCTGTTTCTTATTTATTTGAGTAATGAAAAGTAAATGTAACTATGCTCAACGCAAAACAATAAAGCAGGTTGCTCTGTTTTTTAAAGTTATAAAAAATTATGGAACTATAATTTTATTTTGACGACCAAACTTATTCCCGCCGCGAAAGAGTTATACCTTTTTAACAAATATAATGTTGAAAAATTTGTTTAAAGTTGTTAATAGTTGTAATAAAGGTGTTAGTCCAAGTGGACCCCATCCTCTTTTAAGTATTTTTTTTTCAATGCCCACTTGATTGATACTTGTCATTAAGGTATCAGTAGGGCAGATTTGTTGACCACTCTTTCAGGGGCACCATACTAGGTGGGCCAACGTCGCTCCTACAGTAAGGACAGATAGTGCAGAGAATGAAAGAACATCCATGCCTTATCCCGGATTCGAACTCAGGACCTTTCTCATGTGAGGTCAGCTGCCTGACCATTACTCAGTTCGGTCGGCTGCCCTTTTTGAAGAATAAAAAGCATTTTAGAAAAGCCTGATAAGTGATTTACTAAAAGTAGATTTCCCAGAATTCCGCATCTTGAAATGTTAAACAGTTTCATGATGGTAATTTTGTTCACAAGATTTAATTTTTACAACAAAGAGATGAATATGGGAGGTTGTAGCACAGATACTTACGTTGCGTATTCTGTGTATGAGGCACAATAGACAGGCGCCGAAGATGGGTGGAATTCCAGCAGCCAAAAATGCAACATTATAATTTTTCATATGGTCATACAATAGGCCTGAAATAGAAGAACAAGATACAGAACCAATATAGCGAATACAAAATATTCAATTATGCTAAAATAGAGTATTCCAACGTAGCCAATATGCAATACTCTAACAGGGTGCGTAGCTTTCAACAAAAAATAAGCACCTTTTAAGTACTTTTTAACCACTCAAAAATATTTTTCAGCACTATATACATTAACAAAATGCAAAATAATTTTCAAAGACTACGTGATAATGATAAAATAACTAGTTTCTGACAAAGAACTCTTCTTTTTTTATTTATTATATTAGCTATTATAAAATGATCAAGAGACTTCTCTGTTCGATATCAGAGGGTGGAAAATGAAGCCTGGAATTGACAATATCTTGCAAAAGGCAGCAGAGTTGCAGATAAGAGTGCTAGAATCTCACCGAACCCAGCTCAGTAGACGCACATGCGAACTCACAAGTTCATCAAACATGTAAAATGATTAGCACTTTCATACGCTATCGACCGACGGTACGCCGAGATGCATTGTGGTTGGATGAATTGTAAAAACGTTGAATAGTACAATGTAAAAAACACGCTTTTGCATAATACATGGCGAAAATAGACATGGTGAAGAAAAAAAAATCTTCTTTTCGAAAATGGAAAATTTAGCAATTTTTAAAAAACATCCAATGAAAAAGAAAGCACCTTTAAGGGCTTCTAAAAAACAAAAATCGAAAATAAGAACCTTTAAGCACTTCTTAAAAACACTACTCATCATGTCTTTCATAATATACATTTAATATTTCAAGTAGTATTTTAATTAAGCTAATTCAGGATATTCTAATCAAGTTGACATGGAATACTTTAATAAAATGCAAAACAATTTAATCAAGTTAATATAGAATGCATTCCAGTTAGAAAAATAATTTTTTTCCTTAGTAGATAAGCGGGTGGGTGACCACTTTGATCAGTGTGAGTAGGGACCAAGGTTGTGCGGCATCGGTCCTCGTTAAACTGTTCTACCGTAAAGTGCTCGACTTCACGCTCCTCAGGTCGTCGGGTTACCAAAGCAGGGGAGCCATCCCCTCTGCAGAGGATCAAAATTGCGATGGCATATCTTCGGATCATCCTCAGGGACGTTTCCCAGATAGTCGTCAATAGCCCATTGTGCAGTTCTAATGCGACGTAAATAAAGTACCTACCTACCTCCTGTCGCACCTGCCATTAAATGGAACAACCTGTTTCTATAGAGACCAACGGCCAAATGTCTGATAGTTTTTTTTTCTCAGCTCGTAACAAGAAGTCATTGCTCAATATTCTCTCCAGAAGACAAAATGGTAAAAATAAAAACGCATTCTTGAATACTTTTTTAAAGTATACTAAAAAAGATGGTAATTTCTTTTTTTAAATGTTCCAATTTTAAAAAAAAACATCAAATGTCCTTACCGGCTACAGGCGGTCCCACTGTCAGTGGAATCGAACAGAATCCTAGCAAGAATCCAATAGCTTGTGACGCTCCTTTTTGACCAACGACGTCAAAGGCGATTGGGCCCAACAGTGATATGAAACATCCATCAAACAGACCCAGGAAGAGACAGATGGCGACCAGAGCTGTAAAATGCTTGGCTACCACCAGCACCATAGTCAGAATGCCAATGGACAAGAAAGCAATCTGGGGATAGAATGAACTATAAGTTAATAATTTCTTAATTTTTTAAACCTGAAATACATTCTTCCTAATAGTGCTGCAAAATTTGCTATAACAAAATATGAATAAGGGAAAATCTCGCAAGCGTAAAGACATGGTTTCTAGTAAAACACAGAACTCACGCTTCACTGGCTGCGGTCAGTAAGCGGATGGGTGACCACTTTCATCAGCCTACATAGGGACCGAGCGTGCGTGGTATAGGTCATGATTAAACTGTTCCACCGTAAAATGCTCGACTTCGCGATGGTCGTTGGGCTACCAAAGCGGAGGAGTCATCCTCTCTGCAGAGGATCAAAATTGAGATGGCATGTCTTCGGATCATCCTCAGGGATGTTTCCCAGACCGTCGCCAATGCAATAATCAATGTGCAGCTCTAGTGCGACGTAAATAAATAACAACCTACCATGAACAAGGGAAAATAGGGTATGTTGATAAATTCGAGATTTCTAACTCACAATCGTCCCGCATTGGACTGATCGTTAAGACACGGCTCCCAGTAAAACACTGGAGTCAAGCATCGCTGGCTACTGTCAAAGGATGGCGTTTTCTAAACTAGAATGTGCTGCCAGCTCTATACTGCCAATACTTCAGGTTTTTTTTGTGAAGCCATTTGACTCACGACGTGATCACTATGTTTTGAGACTCTTCTTGAGTAGTATTTCGAGTATTTGTACCTGATATGTGTTTAAAAAAAAGAATCGTCATTTGATGGCCTGTCATCTCAAGACGTCAGAATCGCCATTTGTGAAAAACACTTCTTGCCGTGTCAACAATATAACAACCAGGGTTGGCAAGGTTTAGGATAGAATGAATTAATCCACGGTTTAAACCGTCCTGTCCAAAACCCTTTTACTCAAATTACGTCGCAATTTTATCTGAACAATATGTAAGAGGTAAAATATACATAGAACTAATAACATATTGATAATTAAATCTATTACAGAATATTTGTTTTTAAAAGTATAATGTTTTATTAATATTGTTTGACTCTTCAATTTAAACAAAGGAAGATTAATCAGTAATCAAGTTCAATTGGTCCTCTCATTATATAGTACATAACTGAAGTTGGACTTCGCCATACATGTTAAGCTATTGGGGACTAAGTGCTTGGTTAGTCATAAACAGGTTTATTTACCTATAAGTACTATTCAAGAATACTGTTATTTCATTCATGTTCATTTCTTTTAGCTTAGTGGTGATGTGTCAGTAATTGAAACTGGTGTCATGCCCTTCAAAACTGTTAATACATTTTTCAGTTATTTTGTATTTTCAATTTAAACTAATATATTTATATTTGAAAACAATTTTTTTTAAAAATAGATGTCTTTCTTATCATTCTGTGATGCAGAAATTATAAAAATTTTTTAAAAACATATTGTGAAAAATAAAAGGTTAATTTTTAAACAAATTTAGTATTTTTTTAAAAAAAATCCTTATTTTTTAATATTGCATTATTTATCTTTATGCAAAAATATTATTTAACAGTATTAAAAGCATATTTATATTTAAAGGATTAGATATTCACTTTTGTTGTTCAATGAATTATGGAGGTTCAAAAATTATAAACCTTTTCCTATTATATTATATTATTTTCTTTTGATAAGTTAAAGTAAATTATATAAAAAATATCAAATATTTATAGATTATGTGTACAATGGTTACAACTATAGAATTTTTACCAAAGTTCAAGGTTTTGGACAGTTTTACCCAGTTTAGGACAGTTTTACCCAGTTTAAGACAGTAAAACCCAGTTTAAGACAGTAAAACCCACGTGTCCTGTCCAAAACCAGTTAAGGACGTCCAAAACTCCAACCTAGAGTGCCTAGAGTGCCTCTCTACCCCAACCCTGATTTAAACCTCAGTGATATATAAAATGGACTAAATCTCGCTGCACGAACAATTTGGTAACACTAACATATCGTCGCTTTGAAACTAAACCACAGTAACTCAAAAATATCGAAAAATGATATATTTGGGTCATTTTGTGTAAAAAAATAACCCTTTTAGAGAAAAAACGTGTTATCTTCATAGTTCCATAAAATTAATTTAAAGAACGGATAAATCGTTATCGCATTGGCGCGATTCGCCCTCTTGGTTTTAGGGAATAGTGTGCCAGTTGCAACAAAACCTTGGAGGAGAAAACTTCGCTTTGAAGCTAAACCGTGGTAACTGAAAAAGGCAAGTTTTTCAGGAGAGCGATTTTTTTCCTACACTGTTGTATGTCAAAATTTGAAATGAAATATGTAATAATCGGGAGGATATTTTGAAGAACATCGTTGTATTTTGAAATAACTCTCCACTTTTAATAAAAGTTTTAGAGAAAAGTGTTGCAACTCAAAGTAACTTAATTTATTTCGAAATTATCACAAAATTAGAAATGCTACAAGAATCAGGCCTGGTTCATTGAAAAATGTAAAGAAACATGTTTTTTTTTTTTTTTTTTATTGTAAACTATTTTGCAATAGTCGCCATAGTTTCGAGTCAACCTGCGGTGGAAGTTCGTGAAAAGTTAGAAATCGCTCTCCTTAGAAACTTGCTTTTTTGAGTTACCACGGTTTAGTTTCAAAGCGGCGATATGGTGGTACACGGCTTGCAACGAGGACAGTAGTAAACAAGTAAAAAGAGGCCAAAGACTACAAAAAAAAGCGAGTACTTTCTAAATCTAGCAACCGCGTCACCTTTTTTAACGCTACATCTAAAAATTAACTAAAACAAATTTTAACTTCAAACTCACCAAAATCGCTTGATATCATTCTTATCTAATGAAATCAACACAGATTCGAGCTCAAAAATTAGAAAATTTATTCATTTCATTAAAAACGAAATTATTAATGCTTGGCAAAATAAATAGTAAGCAGCTGTATACTTTCTAACCGGAAGTAGAGCAGGTCAAGAGCTCCAGACTGTTGTTGTTTATATTTATATTGAAAACACCATCCATACCCAGAAAGCATGTAACCTTACAGTAACCTTGTTTCGGAATTTTTTTTTTATTTTCACGAAAATGTTTGTACTAAAAACCTTTTTTCAATAAAGAAAAAATATTGCAGTTTCAAACCTTTCATCCTAAAAGGATTAAAATTATTTTTTAAAGCTTTCTTAAAAAATATCGTCACTTAGGTCCATAATGACGTTTTAGCAGACGTCACTAGCGATATAATCTTAAATATAGGTCATTATAAGGTTTCTTTTCGCAAGCGTCTTGCATGCTCTGCTAAAATTCACCTTGTCATGAAATTTTTAATGGACAATGCAATTTGATCCTATCGCTAGTGTGACGTCAGCTAAAACGTCATTATGGATCTAAGTTACGATATTTTTGAAAAAAAGCTTTAAAAAATAATTTTAATCCTCTTAGAATGAAAGGTTCGAAACTGCAATATTTTTGCTTAATTGAAAAAAGGTTTTTAGTACTAACATCTTCGTGACAATAAAAATAAAAATTCCGATACAAGGTTGCAGTAAGGTTGCATACTTTCTGGGTTGCTTCATTCAAGGATTTTTACACATTTGAAAACCCTAAGTCAACTTCCATTTAAGGTTTTTATATTAAAGGTTGTTTTCCAAGGTTTTGGATTAGGGTAGTGCATAGAACAGAGCAGATTGTCACAGATGTCGTTTTAAGGTTGGAAGGTTTACACGTAAACCGTATTAAAAACCTTTTTAGGTTTATATTAAAAGGTTTTTGTTGGTTGAAAATAAACCTTATTTTGCTATTTGGAAAATGCGCCAGTATTATTTTCGATTTATCACTGTATGAGGATGGATCATGGTTTATCGCCAACATCCTAATAGTACAGCTGTTGAGCGATGTTAATAATCAAATTATTTTTGTATTTAACTGTTGAAACTGTTTACCTGTTGAAGCATGATTCGATTAACTGTTGGAAAATCGGCCAATTTTCCAAAAATGATTCGACCGATGCCAGAAGTCAGGCCAATGCACGTGACGAGAACTTCCCCATTGGCATTTGGGAGAATATCCTTCACATGCTGGACCTGAAATTTATTTTCATACTTTATTACAATTTAGCATTTTATTTTAAATATGTCAGTACAATAATTTAACATGTCTAATAAGGCCTAGATTGAAATTAAATTCATTCTAATTTTAGATGTCCTTTTCTGAGTTGTAATAAAAGATATAAATGACTGATGATGAGATATGATGAATGATAATGAAATATGATGAATGATGATAGATAATAAATGACTACTTAAATATGTTATCAAATTTGTCCTCGCTTAGTGTGACTCGTGTAGGCAAAAGGCTTTTTTAAGAAAATAATTGTGAAATAACTTAAACATAGATTCCAGATATAAATTAAAATTCAGATAAATGTCCAAATTATTCCTAAAAAAAGTATTTCATGAGTAAAAAAATAATATTAAAAATGTTTTTTTACTAATCTTTAAAAAATGTTCACACTTCTCTCTTCGTAAAAAATTCTTGATTTACAAAAAAAAGAAGAGAGTGATCAATTGTATGAATAATTGTTTGAGTAAAATATTAATAAAGCCTTGCTATTATTATATTATTTTATAGCAGGCGATAAACTCTGACTCGTTTTTAGGATTTACAACTCTGAATGTTAAACTCCGTAGCCTTGTAGTTTTGACTCCTACTACAAAGACAAGGAAATTCTTAGATCAAGTAGTGGGAGAAATTTGCCTCCGTGGAGGACTTTTTGATGGAACTAACCCGCATTTGCGTTGCATGGAGAGGGAAACCACGAAAACCTCCCACGGTAAGGGGACTCTAACCCATGATCCGTCTATCACTGAGGATATTTTACGTCAGGACTGTGATCGGTGCAAGCAGGATGCAGAATTCGTATCGACCAGTCATCGCAGGGATTTAAACCTGGTTCATTTCATTGGAAGGCGAGCGCTCTATCTCCTCAGCCATCGCGGCTTAATAAATTTCTCTTAAAGTATTTACATTGTGATTATGCTACTGCACTCTAAAATGTATATCATTATTGTCAATCTACGATATCTCACACAGGAAATTCGACCAATAAATAAAAAATTTATTCAAAATGTATATTCTAGCCCCATGTCCCTTCTAGTCCCCATCTTCCCCTTATTTTCCGAAATGAAACTTTGATTCATGAACAAAATTAATTATGGGTCAAATAACTTTTAGTTATGCGCAACAGTCAATTGCTGTTGTTCAAATTCCTTGATTTAATCATTGGTATCTTCATTTAATTTTAATCCTTCACGTTTTTAACCAGAAATAAGAATATTTTTTAAAATTTTTAATTTTTTTTTCAAAATTAATTTTAAATCGCGTAATTTTTTTACTCATCAAAATTGGAAGAGCGCTTTTACAAATGACTTTTTTTTTAAATTATTTTCATTATTAATTATACTATATACAAAAATATTCAAATCAATCCTTGCTCTTACAATACCAGAGCTGAGCCGTGATGGTTCAGGAGATAGAGCGTTCGCCTTTCATTGAGGTGAACCCGGGTTCGAATTCCACCGATGACTGGTTGATACGAATTCTGCATCCGGCTTGCACCGACCACTGTGCTGACGGAAAATATCTTCAGTGGTAGATGGATCATGGGTTAGATTCCCCTTGCCGTGGGAGGTTTTCGTGGTTTTCCTGACAATGTAACACAAATGAGGGGTTATTCAATCAAAAAGTTCGCCACGAAGGCAAAATTTCTCCCAATATTTGATTCAGGAGTTCCCTTGTCTTCTGGATTGGTTCAAAATTACAAGGCTACGGAGTTGAACATTAATTGTTGCAAACCCTAAAAATTGGGTAGGCTGTTTAATGATCGTTATAAAATAAAATAAAAATAACCAGGCCTGCCAAATATTACGCTTTCTGCAAAAAAATATTTTATGGAATAGTGGCAATAAAAAAAAGTAATGCTTCAAGAATTTTTGATAATTTTGCCAACATTTTAAAAGCCTCACCACGGAAAAGCTGAAACAAGTATACACCTGTCAGCTTTTAAATTTTTGATAAATATCTTATTTTTAGAGCAATTTAAGTTAAAAAGATTTTTGAGCATCATCCAAATCGGTTTTCATAAGTTTAAAAATGTAATAAAATTAAATTTTGACATACTAACAGGCCGGGATAGCCTGACCGATAGGGTGCTGAGCCCATGTCCGAGAGTTCGTGGGATCGAACCCCGCCGGCCGAAGACTCCCCGTGTGGTAAAATGATAACTGATGCAAGTTAAATCTGTCGAGTCGCAAAGTCCTCCATGTTCCCATAACAAATCAAAACCTCTGGGGGTACTGGATTGGTTCTCTGATTCAGGTCAAAATTACGATCTTTAGATGAATGAATGGATGTAAGAATGGGTCCGCCCTATAAACAAGTATGACGTATGGGTGTGGCAGAAGTCGAATTCTTGTCCATAGATGGCGCCACTGGAAAATAAGAACAATCGCACACCCTCTTCCTAAACAGGCATACGAATGAGAGAGAAAATACTAACAAACTGTATTGAAATACTGGCAAACTGAAAATAATGTCATACTGACAAACCCGTAGTTCTAAATGACTGACTGAAAACCACACACGGATGGTTGACTGAATGTATAAGGTAACAAGCTTTTTATAACCGGAAGAAATTTAGAAAACTTCCGGTGTATTCCTCCGCTTATGTCATGCTTACGAGGAGATGAGTGAACAGGCTTGATATTCTGGGAAGTTTCTTTTTATTTGTGTTTAAATTTACGCGTAATTTTACTATTCATAAGAGCTATTTGTAATTTATAAATTCTTACAGATAACGGCCTTAAAACAAAATTTAGAAAATTAACAGCACTATGTAAATAAAGTGTAAAGTTTGCCGTGTCTAGAGTGTTATCTCTTATTTGACAATATTTATTTATAATATCGCAGTTCTATTTTTTGGATCGTATCATGGTGTGCTTGAGGAATCTTCCTAATTTATTTGTTGTTTGTTTCATTAAAGTTTAAATTGAAAGAACGCGTTATATTGCAAACACAAGTACAATATAATGGGCTGGTTGGTAGGGTACTGGGTCCATGTCCAAGAGGTACTGGATTCGATCCCCGCTGGTCGAAGACTACCCGTGTAGTAAATGGTGACTGATGCACCTTAAATCTGTCGAGTCACGAAATGTTCCATGTTCCCATAACAAACCATACCTCTGGGGTTATTATTATTGATCCAGGAGTTTTCTTGTCTTCTGGATTGGGTTCAAAATTACAAGGCTACGGAGTTGAACATTAATAGTAGCAAACCCAAAATTGGGTCGGCTGTTCAACGACGGTTATTAAAAAAAAGTACTATGTTATGGGATAACGCGCTTTTTCAGACCTAGGCGCAAAACTCAATCGGAAGTAATAACCCGGAAGCCTTAAGACGAATCTTAACCTCCAGCGCCATCTGTTTTTAAGTTTTGAGGAAAGAAGTTGTACAAGTGATCAAGAAAATAAAAGAGGTCGTTTTATAAATGCTGATCTTTAGTGCTGTAGAATAACACAAAATTATGAAAAGTTTGTTAAGCTCAAGAAATATCAGGAGGACGAAGATCAAAATTTTGTATCTAAAATCCAAAATGGCGAGGGTCGAGGTCTCTTATATCAAATAATTTTTTTCAAATTATTTATAATGTTAAAGGTCGCTGGTTTTGTTTAAAGCGCGGTTTTCAAAGCGACATTTGAGTCAAGGTAAATGTAAATCACTTTTACAATGGATACAATTTTTTCTTTTGGAAAGTGTAACACGATAAGCTTGATAAACAGAAATATAATATTTTTAATGTTAGCTTAGACTTTTATTTGAATGCATTTCTAAAATATAAGATTTGAAAACAAAGAAGTTACGTAAATACATCCGGATGACGCATTAACCATTTAAAGGGCCTTTTTTTTTTCTAATAATCTCATGTTAAAATATTTTTAGGACTGAATTTGATGGAAAAAAGAAATTTATTTACCATATTATCTAAAATTAATTTAAGTTTAAAGACCATTTTTTGTTTCCAACTGGGGGCTTATTAAAGGTCGAATATCTTATGCTTTGCATTTCTTTTTGTTTGCATTTAATATATTTTTATTTATTTAATTTTTTTTTGTCCTGCAGTGGACTGATCGTAAAGACATGGTTCCCAGTTGAACACCAGGGCTAAAGAGAATAGAAGGGCTAGTTCACTCCGCTCCTAGAGCTGAAGCTACAATTTCCCTCCTCATGACGTCACTGTGTCCACAGATCTCGGAGATCGCAAGCAAAGATATTATGATAACTTTGCATCTTTCTGTTTATAAAAATAAGTTAGACTTTTTCTGGTTATTAGCTTTCAAACTTTACGTGATTAACACATTATTTCCGTTCATAAACATAGTTCAAAAAAACTTTCTTGGCCATTATATTAAAAAAAATACCATTTTAAACTTATAAAAATATCTTACTAGTTGGCGAAAATGACACTATAAATACTTTATTTTAAAAAGTTCAGTTTTAACTTTAATTATTAAGGAAAATGAAAGCATATATCGACACTTTTTTTATCTACATATTCTTTTATAACAATAAGTTGAGTTAAATTAAGAATCCCTGATTTTAAAATATGCCATTAATTTGTTCATACCTAATCATTAGGAAACATCAACCTTATACGCTAATTACTGAAACAAAATAATAATTTAGGCTCATAATGACATTAGAAATTTTACAATTGCTTATAGATATTTAAATTTACGATGATATAATTTACAGATATTTAAATTTAAGAGAATATAATTTTTAAAAAAATCATAAATAGTTAGAATAACTACATTAAAAATATGTTATGAAATTAGGAGAATTTTAACTATATACTATATACTTTATTTACATTTTAATTTTCGTTGACTTCATCAATTTTTTAATTTTTTTGACCTACCTTTCTTTTTGAAGTAACGAGGCGGTTTCTAATTAGATAATGAATTTTTATAAAAGTTCTTAATGATAGAAAAAACGTATTGTTTTATATTAACTGTGTCATTTCGGAATCCATTCTTTACATAGTTGTTCATTTACTTCAGGGAACACGCGGAAAATTATATTTTTTCCTTTTGTTTTTCTATCAGAAATTTTTTAAGTTGCAATCGCGCAAACTGGCATTTCGATAATAGCATTAAATTCTTGTAAATTCACTGCAAGAACTGAGGAAAGTCATTATAGAAAGAAACAAATGTCTTAGAATCTGTCACAAAAAGAAATGTTTCAATATTAGTTAGAGCTATTAAGGCCGAACGCTCCGTTCTTGAAGTATAAGTGCGAACTTTGCGCCAAAGTGACGTCACTAGAAAAATCGGAGGATTGGCGCGGCATGAGTTTCTACAAAGGAGTGAACCAGCCCTTCTATTCTCTTTAGTCCTGGTAGAACACCGAAGTCAGGCATCACTGGCTTGGGTCAGTAAGCTGCTGGGTGACTTCTTAGATCAGCGTACGAAGGGACTGAGGGTGCGCGGTATCGGTCCTCGTTAAACTGTTCTACCGTAAAATGCTAAACTTCGCGCGCAGGTCGTCGGGCTACCAAAGCGGGGGTGCCATCCCCTCTGCAGAGGATCAAAATTGTGATGGCATGTCTTCGGATCATATTCAGAAATGTTTCCCAGACCGTCGCCAATCCAATGTGCAGCTCTAGTGTGACGTAAATAAAATACCAACCTACCACGAATAACCGAGAACCAGGAACCGAGGGTGCCAAAGGTTGTCGGGCTACCAAAGTAGGGAGCCGTCTCCGATGCAGAGGATCAAAATTCCGACTAAATGCGTACAGCGACACTCAACGGTAATAAACTTAACTACCAATTGGGTGATGAGCTTATCGTTTTTTTTAAATTATTATTATTTTCAATGAAATTTATGATACTCTTTAATATGTAATTGTTTAATCAGTTTTTAATATTTTAATTTTAAAAAAATTATTTATATTTTTTATATTATGTTTTGTGTGGAAAGATTGCGCCGAAAATCTTTGTCTCATGATTTTTTATGGCTAACGAAGCTATTCTGCAAATCTCTAAATTTATATATGTTACCGAGAATGATTGAAATCAAGAGAATGTCAACTTTCACCGCTGAATGTCAACAGTCACAACATAGTCGCTTCGGTGAATGTGCGAAATATTTGTTACATCCGATGTAATATTAGTTTATTCGTTGATATTATTATATATTTATTCGATATTTTAATAACTGCTGAGGATAGATTAGGAGAAACATCATTTTTCAGACTACAGGTTAAATGCATGCCGGGCAGTGGCACTTGACCTTAAAAAAATTGACGTAGGGCATACCGGGTAGTGGCATTTAACACTAGATTGCCCAAGGAAGTCATTTTGACTGCTTTTTAACTACTTTTTCATTTGCAAAAAACGTACAAATAATAATGCATAAAATTTTTTTTCCCAAGTGACGTGAATGTTTTTTATTGTTAATACTTACCAATAACTTGCTATATAACTGTAAATAATATAAAAAAATATTAAATATTAATTAAACACATCTCTTTACACATTAGTTATTCTTTCATAATGCAGTCTATTTGACTGCTTTTGGGCAATATAGGTATATACCAAGTTGCAGTTTTTATTGTGCTATCTAGACCTAGTATATATTTCAGACATTCACCAATGAAAGTCAACAACCACCGCAGTAACTATATATATATATATAGCATACATAATTTTACTCTTAATTATTGTTATATCCGCAATAGAAAATTACATTTAAAAAAATTTCTTTGAGTGTAAGTTTTTGTACTTTGTATTCAAAAATAGTTTATTGAGATATTAGACTATAGTTTTAAAGATAATAGTTTAGGTTTTTAATCAGTTTTAGAAACAAAAAAAAAAATATTAAATATTTTAATTAAAGTTACTAAGCGTTGTGGGTGAGGCATTTAATTGGGTATAATATAGCCTACGTCACAGGTTGTGTTGTTCCTACTAAATTTAACCCATGAACGGCATTTTCTGCGAGCCTAACTTCAAGTCACAAATAAACAAACGAAGTGTTCGATCGTTTTAAATAGCTGCTCGCCAGATTTTATTGCATTATAAAGAAAAGTTATTGAAACTAAATACAACTAAAACAAATAACAACAACTACTAATAACAATAACTAAATAAACAACAACTAAATTCCATTCGTTTAGCATTGCGTCATATGTTGTTCCTACTAAATCGAAGTAGTTGTGTTTTTTTTCATATTATACCCAATTAAAGTTGCATCATTTTAAATTGAACACAAATATAAATTGAACACACTATTAATAAAATTTATGTAAAAAATAGTATGCTGGAAAATATGTGAATGGTAACAGTAACTATACCCTTTGATTTACTTGTGTGAACCCCTGTTAATTACCCTCATTTAACCATGACGTACAATTGTTTATTAATTCCGTTCGGAATGATAAGTTGTTGCTTCCTCATGAAAATATTTTTGTAAATGATATATGATTAAGAAAATAAATTAAAAAATAAGAATTTTGTTCAAATAAAAAAAAAATTTAGAAAATTTTTCATACAAGTAGAATTTTGTTACTTCATAGCATTTTGAAATAAATATAATATTCGAAGCAGATTTCTTGCATATCTTTACTTAAAAGAATGGATAAGAAAAAAAAAGAATCATTGAAACTGTTATTTTAATGTTTATAAAGTTAGTGTAAAATGTAGGCACTGAGTTTGAAACTAAACAAAATTTAGCAACTAACTTTTCCAAGATTAAAAATTTTAATTCATTTCAATAAAAATATTTACTATTTGTTATGTATTTTTGGACTTTAAGTACTATATTTATTCAATTTATATGTTGCAGGCAAAGTTCGAAATCCGGCATTGTATATAATGCCTAAAACTAGCAGGCAATGTATGAAACGATTTATATTTCACACATTTATTAGGCATTCCATAGAATGCCAAATGAGAAATCGGCAAAGTATAAAAAGCATCTCCGATTCGTTTCGTAATGTAATGATATGTCATTCAAGCCTGCCATGTTGCAACAAGTAGGTTAATTTCTTATTTTTTTTATATGAAAATTTTGTTTCCCATAATAAGAAAGGCATAAATTATGTTTTGCACAACTTTAATTTTTCCTTACGCATTCTGAATAAATTTTTTTTAATGGCCCTCTCATTATTTTTTCCGAATAACATTTTTGTTTTTGAGAAATGCACGTCATTTAGATAATAATCTCATCAAGGTGTTTTTTTCATACTTTGTCTAAATAGTATTTGTCATTCTATAGAATGCCTAGGTGTTACATATAATGCCTAGGGAAAGTGTGTAGTACTTCTCATATTTCATACCTTGCCTAAAAACATCCGGCATTATATACAATGCCTAGGCATTCTATAGAATGCCGGCGTTTCATACTCTACCGGTAACATATACATTAATTAGTTTTTCAGAAGTAGGAACAGCTTAAAACTATTACTGAATCCTTGGAAACAATTTAAAGAAAAACCACTTAAAAATATAAAATATTTACAAAAGAATAATAAATATTTAAAAAATATAAAATATTTACAAATTTTTTCTTCTTAAGATAACTTCCTAATAGCGAAGTGAATTTTCTATTTAGCGAACTTTTCCTATTTCCCAAAATATTTCAGAACATTTCAAACTTGTTAATGCATTTTATGGGGAAAATGACCTTGAATTGATTTTGGAAGCCACTTAACTTTTAGAGAAATCAGTAAAATCCGTTTCTCTTTTTGTTTGCCTTTCAAACGAAAAACTCTGAGAAAATTAACGGATTTTATCAGTAGCAATTAAACTTAAGAGCGCATGTGGTAATGTATGTTTAAAACTACTTTTATAATAAATGCAGATATAATTTTATACATAAATTTAGCTTTTTTTATGTTGAAAATGTATGTAGCATGATAGTGCAACACTTAATAATGTTCTGCTCTATTTTTTGCTTTTCATGCAGATTTCTTTTATGGTTAAGATTTATAAAATAAATATTAGATACTAGTTAACAAGATAAAGGTGTATCAATTGCTATTTTAATTATGTCTAGTGTTTATGAATTTAAAACCTGTTTCCCGTTGCTTAAGTATTTCGAAAGGTGATTTTCCATTTAACGAATTTTCCATATAACAAGCTTATTATCGGGATTTAGCGACTTCGTAAAATAGAGATCCGACTGTATAGTAATTAAAGAAAATCTACTTTGCAAACATTTGTAAGTGTTATTATTTCATTCATTATACAAGTCCCCCTCGCTATAAAAACTTAGAATACTCTTACACAAGCAAAAATTGAGAAAAAAAGTTAAATTTTTTTTTATTTTTTTTTTTTTTATCGAATACTTATTTAAACATTATTATCTAATATAAAAAACACAGTTCACACAGATGTTATAATTCGCAGAATTGATTCTGTACTAAAAGATGAAAATACACCAGTCACACCTGTAAAATGTGGAATTTATTTTTTTTAAAATAATAAATAAAACACAGGGCATCTTGCAGATTTGTATTAATGTAAATGTAAGTGATCAACGTTTAAATCCATAAAATTTTTTAATTGATGCTTTTTAGATCAGGGCGAAATAAAATGAGTTAGCTTAGATGAAGCTAAAGGTTTAAAAAAATAACTAAATATATTTTTGGTTAAATCACGTGCTTCAAAAAGCATTCTGATTTAAGTTGGTGATTAGTTTTGTTTCCATCAACAACATGTATTTTTCTTTAAAAGTAACATGCTTCTTCCATGAAAACACACAAATAATCTGTTACATAAAATTTATAGTTTGTCTACGGTAAGAACTCCTCAAGTCTGAAGCTGTGGAAACAAGAATAGCACATTTCAGGGAGGGTAGCTTCTCTTCACTCTAGGGCTAGCACAATAAACCGAAGAAAAATATTCCCTTTCCCGGAAGGGAATATTTTTTGTGTGGGGGGAGTTCTTACCGTAGATAAACTATATATGCTATATTTAATTCATAAACAAATTGAGAGCATACTCACAAGGTGTACGTAAGGCACAAAATATCCGAAGAGAGCTGATGGGATGGCAAAAACCCACAGCAGGTACTTCCTGTTCCTCCATATTGACAAATCGAGGCAGTTTCCAAAACAATTGCTCTGCAGACAGATTGAATAAAAAACGAATCAGTTGATTGGTCAACGGTTATTGATTCAAAAGTAGTGAGTTTAAATCAGTGTTTCCACTTAGTAGATTTAAATAAATGATTCAATTAATTGATTCGAATCAATTAATTGAATTAGAGACACAGACGGTGACTCGAATCAATATGTTCAAATCAGTGTTTTTTTTAAATATTGATTCGAATAAGTGATTGAAGGGATTTCTTCGAATCGGTTGATTGATTTAGGTACTGAAACAGTGTTTCGAATGAGTATGTTCAAGTCAGTGTTTCGAATCAGTTCAAATTTAATCGATTCAAATTTATTATCAGTAGTAAGTATTTATTCAAGTATTTCCTTCGAATTAATATGTTCAAATCAGTGCTTAGATTAAGTTGATTAAAAAATTATTCGATCAGCTCATTCAAGGGAATAATTAGTTAAACAGCTTATTGTCAGTTGATTGGAATCTTTAATTTGAATAAATGATTCCTTTATAGATTTAGGAAAAAAATAATTTCGCACAATTATTCGGCTATTTGAAGAAACTATGATGGACTATTATCGAACTTCTGTAAATTGTGAGTCAATTACTGAGCCCGGTATTGAGTATTGAGACCGGTAATCAAGTACAGTTGATTTGAGAACTTTTTAAATGAAGCAAACAATCTTTTTTATTGTTTTGACAAATTACCTTGACAAACTAATTTAATTATTCAATTATATGATGACCAGTTGATTTCTAATGTACTGAATGAATTGAATCTTTTTCTAATTGAGAGACCTGGTGCAAGAACTAGTTGTCCTATGTTTTTTCCCCCATAGAAAAAAAAAATATTTTTGACTGTGGACAAGGATAATATAGCGGTTTCGATTCACGCTAGAATCAGGAACAACAGCAATTTTCGCCCTTTTGCAGGGCCCGACTTAAACTAATTGGAGCCAGGAGCAAAAACTTCTTTGGGGCCCCCCTTTGCTTCACTGCTTCAGTAATGAAGGTATTTAACATGGAGAAATTTTAAGATATTTAATTTTAGAGTATTTAAATTTTTCACCTCATTATAGATAACAAGAAAATTGACTAGAACCTAAAATGGCTATGAAGTCCCTCCCCCTCCTATGGTCAAACGAAATATCATTCTGTTCTGTTCATTTTATTGACTTTCTGATAATTCTAAGTCCATCATGCCGAATGCCGTTTTCTGATTGTTAACTTTGTCGTCGAGTAGCGAAAAATTCATATCCTTGCTGACATTAGGGCTAAATTCACGAAATTACAATGACTTAATTAAGCCAATCAGAAGTCTGTATTTTTGCAAACATATCGCATTCTGCAATATGTAAAAATACAGGTTTTTGATTGGCCAAATTTGTCCATCGTAATTGCGAAAATTTAGCTGAATTCCACCTTAGAAAGCCATGGATTTACGAAAGATAGATTGTGTTCATAAGATAGATTAATAAAGAAGCTAACATAAAATAGAATTATTTTACACTGTAATGATATTTTGTTTTTAAAAAAGTTCATTAAAGAATGTAACGTAAAATAAACTTGGGGACTCTCTCTAATGAAGGGGTCCGGGGCAACTGCCCCGTATGCCACTGCTTTAGTCAGGCTCTGCCCTTTTGTGTTAAAAAATTGAGTTGGCAAGAAAGTGATTACGATTTTTGTAGCGTGAAATAAAACTCAATTTACTCTACACAAAAAACTTTAATTATATATTTTCCATATTCTATTTGATGACCTTCTGGTAACTTCATGATCTTGCATTTGTAGGACTTCTTGTCTTTATCAGCAAAAACTCAACCAAGTGAGATTCGAGGGCATCGATAATATTGAATCTTTCATCAGTTAAAAGATATTGTAAATTTCAAAATACATGATAATCCGATAGAGCAAAGTCGGGGCAACATGGAGAATCTCAAATTTTGCTCCACCATGCACACAATATTAGCGACACGTGCGAAATTATTGGAGCTTGGTTGGTAAGTGACATATAGCATCATCGTGAAGTTACCAAAAATATGTCACAAGATCATTGAACAGAATAGAAAATATTTAATTTAATTTTTTTAATAGAAAAAAGTGAGTTTGATTTCGTATTAAAAAACCAAAATTTTCTCTGTCCAACTCAATAGTATGGTAAAGCCACATGAGTCCATAGTTAATTTCGCTTGGTTCTCACGAGCAATTTGAAAATCTGGACGTACGTAACACCAAACTCCTAAAATATTTTAGATTAGTTTAATCCCCAAATATTATTCAAATATTATTAGAAGAATATTACATGATGGCTGGAATAGCCTGGTTGGCAGAGCATTGGGCCCATATCCAAGAGGTCGTGAGTTCGATCCCACCGGACGAAGACTCCCCATGTACAAAATGGTGACTTCAAGGTGACCAATGGTCCTCCCTCCAAGTTCCCATACCGCTATGGGTACTGGATTGGAGATCGATTGTGCTCTGGTTCAGTTCAAAAATACGATCTACGGATGGATAATGTATGAATGTGGTCTCCCTATCAAACGGATTGTGATGTATGTGCGGGATAGAAGTTGAATTCGTGTCCATAGATGGCGCCACTGGAAAACAATAAGAAACGTACCCCTTTACCTTAAGTAGGCTTGTCAGTATTCACATGTGGCATAAGACAACAACAACAACAACAAAAAGAGCCGTGATGGCTCATGGGATAGAGCGTTTGCCTTCCAATGAGGTGAACCGGATTCGAATCCCAGCGATGGTTGATCGATATGAATTCCACATCTGGCTTGCACCAACCACAGTTCAAGGCTATGGAGTTGAACAGTAGTAGTCGTAAATCCAAAAATTGGATCAACTGTTCAACGACGGTTATAAAATATAAAATAATATAAAACAACAAGCAGAAGATTATATACTTACCGAATCTTGCAGGCTCTCCTCTGAGGAGTTTGTCTCATCTTTCTCTGTTATTCTCTGGTGTTGTGATAGAATGGGCCGGAATGTGAGAGCACACAGCATGACAGAACCCATCATCACGGACAAAATCTAAAAAAAAAAAGAAAATAATAATAATTTGAATTCTGCATACATGCGGTTATTGTTGATTTACGACAATCTAAACCATGATACAAATTTACAACATGTCAAGGTGCATATTTAAATACGTAAGAAATTTATCTGTTTATTTAATGTATTCTTTGAAAAAAAAAATCGAGGAAAGAAATTTAATCGGATCACTCGAAATCACGTGACTCTAATGTCTTGTCTTTAAAAAGTATAAAAATGTCCCAATTAAAGACGGAAAATTATATTCCCCAAATAAAAATGAATTAAAAGAAAAAACAAAATTTTATTTAATTGTGAAATTTAAATTTAATATAGTCCTCATGGAAGAATGGGTCAATTTGGTTCTCGTTAATATTTCTGGATTGAAACCTAAGGACCTATTTTAGAAATGTAGCAAAAGCTCTTTTCATTATGGATGGTCACTTAACTATTTGAACCATTTTATTGTACCATTAAACATTAAATTAAAAGCCTTGAACTTTTTAGTGAAAATTAAAAATCAAAATACTAAAAATGCTAAAAAAAAAAAAGGTTTTTTAAATTTTTATTTTTACAAATAAATGTTTTATGTGTATAGTTATTTAAACTTTTTTTTTTCACCTATCACCGACCAGCATAGACCAAATATTGAATCCTTACTGCTGGCTTTAATTAATGAACATTTTATTTTATTTTATAACCGCCATTGAACAGTCGACCCAATTTTATGGGTTTATGACTACTAATGTTCAACTCCGTTGTCTTGTAATTTTGAACCAGATCCAGAAGACAAGGGAACTTCAGGATCAAGTATTGGGAAAAATTTGCTTTCGTGGAGGACTTTTTTGATGGAATTAACCTGCATTTGCCGTTACATGGAAAGGAAAACTACGGAAATCTCCCACAGTTAGCCTGACGGCAAGGGGACTTTAACCCGTGATCCGTCAACCACTAAGGATATTTTACGTTTTGTGGTCGATGAGAGCCTGTAGCGGAATTTGTATCGACCAGCCGTTGCTGGGATTCGAACCCGGTACATGCCCTACCCCCTGAATCATCACGGGTCTAATTACCTAACATTGACTTATGCTATTCTATTTTATTATTAATATTTTCTTTTTGCATGTTTTAACGAATTTTCATAAATAGTGAAACTTAATCCGAAATTTACTACAATTAATTAATCTTAAGAAAGTGCTCTTAAATTGGCAGATATAATTAATTGAAAAATAACTACGAGTGATGGTCACTAAAATTACATTTGATCATGTGAGAAAAAAAAGTGAGTCGAAAGTATTGATTATTTTAATGAAGTTTAAAAATTCTGATCATCATTAGATATGTTCCATTAAAAGATTACTTAACTTTTTTCATCCATTACGGAACAAGCTTTCGATAACCTTACAATCGGCTTTTTTCAAGGTCTGTTTTTCCGACAAAAGATGAAACTTATTAAAACGAAGGTCACAGACATAAGAAGATGAATGACAACTACTTATCATCAGGAGTTAGACTTTCTTTAGCCTTAATATTGCATTCACCCTTAGCATTTCACTTTTCATCATTCATTTTCATTAATTCAGTTCCCGTTCGCAAGATTAACTGCGTTCATTCGGTTTATGTTTGTTCTCACGCTACTCAGCATCATCTCGAGCATTACCTGTCTCATAATAGCTGTTATAAAAACTGCGATTACAAGGTTTTCAGTTATTTTTAGCTGCCGGGGCACTGATAATGCAGTTTCATAATTGTTCTCAGGTTTATTGAGGACATTTTAAGTGAATACGAGACTCATTACAGAATAATTAGAAGCAATAACCTTGAGGACACCTGACTAACACGTGTGAAATGTTCCTACTTTATATTATAATTACTTTTAAACGATCTTTGGCATATAAATGATGATTTGCAATATTTTTATTTCATAACCGTCGTTGAACAGCCGACCCAATTTAGGGTTTACGACTAAAAATGTTCAACTTCGTAGCCTTGTAATTTTGATAGATCAAAAGAAGACAAAAAAAACCTCCTGGATCAAGTATTGGAAGAAATTTGCCTACGTGGAAAACTTTTGATGGAACTAACCCGCATTTGTGTTACATGGAGAGGAAAACCACGAAAATCTCCAACGGTTAACCTGACAGCAAGGGTACTCTAACCCATGATCCGTCTACCACTGAGGATATTTTACGACAGAACTGTGGTCAGTACGAGCCGGGTGAGGAATTCGAATCGACCAGCCATTGCTGGGATTCGAACCCGGTTCACCTCATTGGGAGGCGACCGATCTATAGCTAAGGCCACAACGGCTCAAAAAATAATTCTATGATTAAATAAACTAAAGAAGTTAGATACACGCAACAAAAAAACATAAAAAAAATAATGTAATATAATAAAATACTTATATCTTTTAGGATAACTGAAAAATCAAGTTATTTTCAGTTGTCATCGGAATTATATAGTTCTAATCAGCCTGATAATTTTGACTAGCTGATGATTAAACTATTCAGTGTTTTCTGATCTGCTTTATATTTTTAGGCTTATTACAATCTGCTTATATACCTTAGGTTTATTCAGAAATGAGCAAAAAAACTACTCAATTACACGGACTGAATTGGCTTAGAGCAATAAACCTTTTTATAAAGCTATTTATAATAAGCCTTCACTACTCCGGGCTTTTTTCTCTAAATAAGTCAGGAAAATTTATCAATGAATGATAAATTTCCAAACTAGCCTAAAAGTACGAGTTCTCACTAGAATAAGTTTAAGAAATCGTTTGATAGATTTTAAAAAAAAAATATTGCATATTTTTTCAATTAGTCTAGCGTGCAATAAGCCGAATTATCAATTAGGTTATTATTTATAGATAAGGTAAAAATATTGTAATATCTAGTACTGTTTCTTTTAGTGTGCCTATGTATTTAAGGATGAAATTTATTAAATTTTTTAAAGATGAAGTTTTAAAGAAAAATTCTTTTATAATTTAATGTGACAAATTGCCTGAAATAAATCAGGCTAATAATTGCGAGCGATAAATAATGCATAGTAACGATGTGTTATTCATTCGTCGAGAAATTGAGGAAAATCTTTCTTAGATTAAATTATTATTGCTCAATTTTCTGCATAAGTGCTCTCAAAGGCTGCATTCCCAAACACAATATCCTGCATAAGTGCTCTCAAAAGCTGCATGCCCAAACACAATATCCTGCATAAGTGCTCTCAAAAGCTGCATTCCCAAACAAACTCGCAATGTAATTTTAAGGTTTATATCCAAATGAAATTTAAGGAAGAGTTGTTTAGAACTGCAATGGGCACAAGGCTATCGGGGGAATTCTTGCGAGCTTCTTTATGGGGCACTAAAATAAAGTATTATGAATTTAATTTCATATCATAATGCAGTATATAACTTCATTTCACATGGGATCAGGGGCACAAAATCGGACATCTCACTTCAAACCAAGCGAAAGTGCTAATCGAAACTTATTACAAATCTGACAAGATTTCGAAGTATGTGAACACACTTTTTACATAACTTACTTCAGTCCACAAAGTTTTAAAGTGGAGCTCAATTGTTTAAATAAATTGCATGAAATTGTTTACGAATATTGTTTGCTATTTAAGGACGTATAACTTTCGAAATTTTAATATTTTCTACGATGAATACTGTATGTTAAGTTTCTACCATACAGCATGTACCAAACAGATTTGCTTGAACAGTGATGAGTTCAACTGATAAAAAAAAATTACTTGTAGAGTGGCTGCAAGTTCTATCGTGTCCAGAAGCCGAGTGAGGACAAGAGGCATGACCATGGTGAAGACTGAACTGCCGGCAGTTACCAGTCCGTTCACGAAACCAAGTCTCCGGTGGAAGTAGTGTCCCAGCACCACCAGGGACGGGGTGTAGGCTAGGGATGCACCAGATCCGAGTAGGACGCCGTACGTGATGTATAGGAGCTCCAAACTGTTCACGAATGAACTGGCCAGCATGCCAGCAGTCGCCATCAGACCCCCTATGAAGGCCGTCTTCCGAATGCCCAGTTTGTCCGTCAGTATACTGGCCACTGGCGACAGCAGAAAGGTCATCCCAATGGAAACAGATCCTACCCATGCTGAAAAAAATAAATACATAAAGTTAAAAATGTGTGCTTCTTTTGCTGTAATTCACAGTTTAAAAAAAGGTTTAAGTTAAATTACAATAAAAAAATACTTTTCCGCACACGGCTTGCGCCGACCACAGTGCTGACGCAAAAATATCCTCAATGGTAGATGGATCGTGGGTTAGAGTCCCCTTGCCGATAGGCTAACCGTGGCAGGTTTTCACAGGTGTCCTTTCCATGCAACTAATCGCGGGTTAGTTCCATCAATAAGCGTTCCACGAAGGGATTCGAACCCAGGACTTAAGTATGCTTCCCCTACCCCCTTCAACAGTTGAGTTCCATCGACAGGAAAAAAGCCGCAATCGAAGTATCCTTCAACTTTTAGATAGAAAATCAAATTCTTTCGATAGTTGTAAAGTGTTCCCTGTTTATTTAGTTTTAATGTAGAATTGGCTTAAAAAAATTGCTGTCGTTCGTGATGGCTTTGAAAATGTGATGAGATTTTTCAACCTTGGGTAATTGCACTTGAGAAAAAATAACACTTCTTAAATATATATAGTATAGATAAATAAACAGCTGAATCAAGGATGATAACAATTTGGGATTCCGCTGATAGATTTTAATCCTTTCTTTTATCTGAGATCATTTCACCGAGAATTGCGTCAGAAATATTTATTATGGTAATCTATCTAATTTTACAACTACGGCTTCTACTATAACAATCAATCCGCATTAATAGCAAGATATTTATTATTCTATCTATGATCTTCAAGATATCTTCTAGTTAAAATAAATATTAAGTAACTATTAGAGTTAAACTGCAAATAAAAGATTAACGGATTTGATAAAAAAAACGCTTCCTTTTTCTATCCTATTCAAGGACTGCTTATATATAATCCATAATACTTTTTCGTGATTTAGCGCTTTCTCTTGATGGACAAGAAAGATAAAAGTAAATAGATAAGAAGAAAGCTTTACGAAAACTAATTTGAAGAAAATAAATACCAATAATAACACACATCATACTCAAAAATAAATATTTAACTTTGAATTCAATCTTTAAATTTGAGTTTTAAAAAACACACATTTGTAGAAAATAATTAAGCATCTACTTCCTAATTCCAGGAATTTGCTGTAGATTTTCAAAGCAAATGAGCATTTTTTTTTTCTTCTTTAATTGAAATATAAATTTTGGTAAAACGGAATGAAAGTTTTATTCTTTTAATGAAAGCTCTTTATCTACACCAAAACTTCAAAGCCCGAAACTACTAATGCGTTTCATATAATCTAATTTTCTCAGCCTTCATGCATCTTTTATAGTTTATTTAAATTATAGTATTATAGACTTAACCACTCCTTGTTATCGCTGGAAGATCCTCAAGACTCTCAAATCGTTTCCCTCGATCTTTCGTCCTAGTCTCGTTTAATGTGGGCTTTACCTGGCCGCAACAAGGCTACCGATAACCATTATTGTTAGAAGCTCGTTTACCTGAATTGGAAGCTAGAATTGCAGACCCATGTCGGATTTTCTAGTAAGAAACTGCTTTCATTTACGTTGCAAAAGCTTCAAAGTGGTGGTTTTTAAATAATAGGGTGTCTGAGCCATGATGTCCTAGGGCAGGGATGGTGAAACAATGGCACGCGTGCCATTTATGGCATGAGACAATATTTTGGGCACGCTACCGATCACAATTGTTATTACACTATGAATTGTTATTACACAAATGGTATTAGACTATGAAGCATATGTAACAATTAAATTAAAATTCACAAAAACAAACAAAATAATAAAAAATTATTAGTAAAAAAATTAACAATTAATGCTAAAAAACAATTAATAACCGTAAAAAACAAGCTAACAATAAATAAATAGCAAAAAAATTAACAGTCCTGCTTAAACTAACATCTTACAACCTAATATAAGTTATTTGTCATCTAATCTGCAACAACAGAAGACACACTGATGTTACTTTAAGTTGAGTTGTTTTAAGATATGACAAAATGTATTTTTTTTTTCAATGTGCGAGTAAATAAAGAGTTTTGAGTTGATAGTATTTAGTATTATTATTTTCCCAATAATCATGAAGTCAAAATTATTTGACGGCACGTCTATGACCTCATTAAGCAATTTTTTAGAAAAATGGCACGTTGGTGTATAAAGGTTCGCCAGTCCTGTCCTAGGGGATAGAGCCTTCCAATGAGGCGAACCGGGTTCGAATCCCAGCGATGGCTGGTCGATATGAATTCCGCATCTGGCTTGAACTGATCACAGTGTTGACGTAAATTAGCCTCAGTCGTACACGGATCATGGGTTAGAGTCTCATTGACGTCAGGCTTACCGCTTTCCTCTCCAAATGCGGATTAGTCCCTTGAAAAAGTCCTTCACGAAGGCAACATTTTTGTACATGATCCAGGAGTTCCTTTGTCTTCCAGATTGGGTTCAAAATTACAAGGCTACTGAGTTGAACATTAGTACCTGTAAACCCAAAAAATTGGGATGGCTGTTCAACGACGGTTATAAAATAGGGTGCCTCATACCTTTTCTGAAAGAAAACGCGAATCCTCAATCCTCTGTAAAATTGTATATATATATTTATATAAAAAGAAGTAATTTCACTTTCTGACAGAATTAAAGATTTGCCCACATTGACATAATATTGATGTTATTGTCCTCCTAGGATTGATATTTTGGTTAAAAATGGAAGTGACTTTATTTCGAGGGGACACCTTTCCCTCCTTTTTTACTCTTTTCCTGTCCAGAAGCAGAAGGGTATGTATGTAAGGGGGTATGATGCGTAAGGGACTCCTTGTAACTATATGTTCAACCATAGACTTATGTAATATATTTGTTTGGTTCTTATTGGTTTTCTTTGTATGTAGTTATTTCAAAAAATTAACATAGTTTCAGTTAGTTGGGACTTATTGTAAAAACTTGCAAAAATTGTTAATTATTTATTGATTTCAATAATTTTTATCCAGGTGGAAAAATATAAGTGAGCCATTTTTTAAAAAAAAGTATGATAACTATTAAAATATTTGACTTATTTGTCCGTTCTAAGGCCTTAGACAAGATGATATATAAAGTTAAGAAATATATTTTTCAACAAGTTTAAAACACTTAAACAGTGCCTTTTGTTTCCTTTGTGAAAAAGCTTCGGGAAAAAAAAAACAATTTTTCAAAAAAAAATAAAGTACACAGCTTTTGCTCCATGATTTTGAGTTTTATGTGTCTATAAAATTTCTGACAAGTAAATAAAAATCATTGTTTTCTTTGAGTAAATTAAGTAAAGGTGAATAAAAGCATGTGAAGCATTTCTCCCTTTGTTTACAATCTTCTAACAGATAATGACTTCACTAGGAAGCCTTTTAACATGATGGCGGTTTTTGTAATATGAAGAGATTGTTTAATGACCTGCAGAGAAGGTTTTTCAACCTTTTATCAATGTGGAAATCGACATCGTTCAAGTCATGACTGATAAGCATCTAACTTTAATTAACTTATATCGCAAATCTTGATAAGTTCCTTTAAAACATAGCATATAATTAGTTAAACTTTCCAAAGGAGTCTTCTATCAACAATTTAGTTAAAATACTGATAGAAAATTGTGATCATTTAATATGTAAATAAGGTTGTCAGTACAAAGTCTAACGAATTTTTGATTGGATAAATAGATTCTTCGTTCTCAGGATTGTTTCGTGAGAATAAAGTGGGAGAATGTCGACATTACATGTAACAGACATTTTGGATCCGTTGACAGATAAATATCTTTTTCGCAACAATGTAACAAAAAAAGGAAAGTATTGAATGATAATATCGTGCAGCATAACAATAAAGCAGGAGAATGTCAACATTACATGTAACAGACATTTTGGATCCGTTGAAAGATAAATATCCTTTTCTCAACAATGTCAAAAAAAAAAGGAAAGCATTGAATAATAATATCGTGCAGCATAACAATAAAGCAGGAGAATGTCAACATTACATGTAACAGACATTTTGGATCCGTTGAAAGATAAATATCCTTTTCGCAACAATGTCAAAAAAAAAGAAAAGCATTGAATAATAATATCGTGCAACATAACAATAAAGCAGGAGAATGTCAACATTACATGTAACAGACATTTTGGATCCGTTAAAAGATAAATATCCTTTTCGCAACAATGTCAAAAAAAAAGGAAAGCATTGAATAATAATATCGTGCAACATGACAATAAAGCAGGATAATGTCAACATTACATGTAACAGACATTTTGGATCCGTTAAAAGAAAAATATTTTTTTCGCAGCAATGTCAGAAGAAACGGAAAGCATTGAATAATAATATCGTGCAACATAACAATAAAGCAGGAGAATGTCAACATAACAGACATTTTGGACACGTTAAAAGATAAATATCTTTTTTGCAACAATGTCAGAAAAAAATAGGGTTAGCATCGAATTATAATATCGTGCAACCTAACAATTGAGCCCTTTTTCTGTCCGATTTGAATTAACCTTTTGAAGTAACCCTTTTTCCAGCCAATTCCGGCCTGTTGTCAAATTGAGTTTAGTGGCTGAGTGGTCATCTGGCTCTTTCACCAGGAAAGGCTTTTCTTCAAAGTTCTTTCAACGAGGAAAATAAATGATAAACATGTCTCTTACACCTATATAAGTAATTTAAAGTAAGTAAGTTAGATGTTTCCATTTTAAAATGGAAATTTTCTTTTCTTTTCTGACGTTTTCATCCAATCTGAAAGTTTTCCATAAGGCATTGTCATACTTTTAATTTTTTCATGTTTCTCTCATCTTAAACATATTACCCCTTACTGTTTTTAGTTCATTTTATTGGCTTCTGTTTTGTGTTTTTCCTCAGAATTAGCTTTCATGAACAAAAACCGTTCTTTCCCTTTAATCTTCAATTTCAATAGTTTTTGAGTTCACTGATAACACTTACAATAAAAACATTTCGAAAATATATATTTATTATGTAGTAAATTGCATAATATTAAATGCATATTATAAAAATTTTATAC